AGAACTTTGTAAAGGAGTTGACAGGAGGTCCCTACAAACTTTGTCTGGTGTCCTTTCTTAGGTTCACAAGATTGCATAGGTCTCCGCTTGATGGCTTGACACGTCGATGGGAAGTTGCGGAAGTGCAAAATACCCCCTACCCTTGTCATCAAACTGTGCCGACTTCAGTATCCTCTTCAATCGAACGACTACTAAGAATGTTCAACCGAGAAAAATTCAAAGATGGTATCCAAAAATGGCTGCCACTCACTGTAGAATAAAGCAGATTATCGTAGTTGTAGTGATGATTCGTGATACGGGCTAGTCGCTCGGTGATTTGTTCCAATAACTCAGCGCGATCTTCACGAGTTGTTTCCCAGCTACGTAACGCTATCGCTACTGCTACTCGTTCCGCCATCTGAACCAGTTTTAATGAAAATTTCACAAAAAATAGAAAATTTAAGTAGACAGCACAGAAGGGCTGATTAGGTTACAGAGAGCTCGCCTGAGTCACAATATCTCAATTGTCCCTGAAGAAGGAAGGAAGGAAGAAGGAAGAAATTGTCCGAACTTTAATTGATATCGCTAGCATTTGCTTGCGCTCATAGCCAATACAAGGTCAACTGTTTTCTTCTGTTCATGCTACAGGTTACGGCTTTCGGCGCTAATAAAACGCTTTTTGGGACGTGCTAACCTACTTCCGTAAAGGATCGTAGAGGCGCCAATAAAGTGACTACGGAGATATGGCACGTTTCGTTGACTCAAACGGGAGCCGAATCGAGATTCCGCCTCTTAATCATGCACGTGGTATGCGGCGGCACTCATTCTGTGCCACTTCGAGTCAAATACCATTACAGATCTGGTAGTAAACAAATCTAGTGGGATGGGAGCACGGTCCAAACGATATTAATTCCTACGGATCGAGGAAACGCGATGAGGTGGACCTACCCATTGAACCAAAGCGTACAAAGGTCCCATATGTATCTATTGATATGCATTAATTATTGAAACAGGTGGGTGGGATGATAAAAGCTAAACGAACCTCATCTAAGTATAGAAGCTCCAGTTCGAGAATTTCGCTGATCAGACATAAGAATTTTGGTTGTTGCAACCTTAAAGGAACGAAAAAACAGATGCACAAAATCATCGCCATGTGATATTTAAAACGAAGTAAAGGTTTGAAATGTTGTTTTATTGCGATAGCTGTTTCTAGCGCCGCATACTCCGTAACGAATTTCATCACAAGACCGCTGAGTTATTGGCAAAGTCTCGACCTCTGGCGAGACCTGAATCCATGCAAGTACGATATACTAGCCCACCACCTCTAACCAGCTCAATGACTTTTGTGCCTTCGCCTTGCAACATTCACATCTTTGGATATCGACCATCCTCAACCAGGATTAGGCCGCGTTCATACATGATGCAGAAATGCAGATCTGCCATGAATTTTCCCAAATCCTGCGGAAATTGCGCGAAAGTTCGCAGAAATTCAGTTTTCCTTTCCGCAATTTCCGTCATTTCCACAACGTCGTCATGTATGAACGCGGCCTTACTTCCTGCCCGAGATGATGATTTGCGCAGTCGCAAAGACAGTCCTACTTTCGCTGCTCCACATTAAGAGAGGTGAGTTCATAAGGACAGGATAGGGATAGGCCTTTATGCAAGCGCTTTATAGAAACGAAGGGAACAAACTGCTGGCATATAGTACAGAAAAAGGGCAAGAGTACCGGAACTGACATGCAGTTATGGGTACTGACGCGGGCGGAAACGACTTTGGGTTAGCATGAACACTAGTTGCTGAAGAGCAAACCAAGAAAAAATGATGGTAAATGGCAGTGTCGCTTAGGAAAGTTTCCATACCTTGCATCACTCTTCCAGTGCATGTTTATAGGAAATGAAAAACGACAAGCCGTTGGTTATCCTCTTTAACCCTTTGAAGCGCTCTCGTCAAAAGCGCACAAATCGGTGTCCATTTCTTCTACATCCTTGTTCGTTGCAAGTGATGAGGCGTGTCAGAGAGGCTGGATTGACGCGCCGTCAGCCCGATCTCCACCAGTTGTTGAAGCGGGTAAGCAAGAACAGTTGGTGGAAGAATTCCTGCTATGAGCGATTTGATACAGTGCAGTCGCTCACCGGAAATTAAAGAAGAGAAACTAGCTGGCGCCGCGCCAAAACCATCTCGCGAGACACGCCCCATTATTCGCAGCGAGCAAAACTATGCGTGCCATAATGGGCAACCCAGAGTATAGAAGCTGCCTTGAGGATTGACTTGTCTTTCCTAGAACATGTGGATGCGTCTAAACTTCTACAGCCTACGCTTTGACACCGCACGCGAAAGTATGAAAGCAATCGAGACCACCATCCTTTGAGAGCATGCTCCCCCTTTATCGACATTACTGCAACCCTTTATAGAGCTCTCAAGCTCATCATGAATTAAGAAAAATATGCAAGTGCCAGCTTACTCTATCATACACATCCATATGCTTGAGAAATAGTACAACGCGGTTGCAAACGTTTTTCTTCCGCTTGAGATCAGATTCAAGGGAAGATGAAACTGAAACACA